TTTTTGTCAAAATGGGCTGGGTGCTTGGTTCAAATGGTCGGACCGTTCAACCCGTAACCAGACCCCTAACCGGTTTGGTTTTAAAAACTATGATTTCTATTGTTCTCCTTCAGTTTCTCTCCCTCTTCCTCTCTAGTTTTTTTTTTTTATTTTCTTATTTTCTTACACACTTATATGGTATTAATCAGATCGTATAAAAAAACATGAGACCAACTTGGTATGGTTCGAAAATTATTATACCAAATTGATAAAATTCACAAGAAACTCTTGGGTATGAAATTTACACCAATTGGAGAACAATAGAGATTGAGGGAGAAGGAGATTTTGATCGAGAGGGAGAGAGGGAGAAGAATGAGAAAAATTGAGGGAGAACAATAGGGAGGTTTTGATTTGGCAACAGACCAAAGCAGAGAGAGTGGGAGAGATAGAGGGAGCGGGAGATCGAGAGATGACTGTGAAAGTGAGAGAGAAGGGGGGGGGGAGATCAAGAGACAGAGGGAGTGGGAGAGAAACTGAAAACCTATTTTCAATATAGGTTTTCTGTTGTGTTCAACATGGAATAAGAGTCCCATGTTGGCAATAGCCACATAAGCCTCTGATGACATGGCAGAGGTTTTTATAATTTGAAATATAGTCATTTTTCAGAGTTTGGTTGGTTTGTAGACCAACCTGCAACCTAATTTTAAATGCACAACCGACTTTGATTATAATTTCCCTTTAAATTATATATTTCATTTACATTTTATAAAATATATTTTACTTGTTACACTTAATTTTTGTTTGTTTATGGTATCATTTTACTCAAACCACTAATCCACCATCTAAAAATAAAAATTGTTTGATTTCTAGGTTGACATTAAATTTTGTATTACATTTCCATCATTGATAAAATTATTTCTTATGTATAAAACTTATTTTTGTTCAATATAATGAATGTACAATATTAGAGATGTACCAAATATTTTCTTTTTTATAAATATATAATATTAGATATGTGCCCAAAATTTTCTCTTATCTTTTTATTTTTTTTATTTTTGTGGTTCTTTGTATGTTCTATTATTAAAAATTTTATTATTTGACTATGACACCATTTTCTAAGTAGATTTTGAAATTCACTTTCCATTTTCATCATTAATAAAAATACTTCTTACATTTCATAGTTATTTATTTTGATTTTTTATTATTTAATTATGACATTATTTATCAATCCATTTGACCTTAAATGGTCATATTGCTTACCCACCACCGGGAGGGAAGCAAATGGTTTTGTTTTCTAATTACTTTTCAAAATATTTATTTTTATACTATTAAAATTAATATTATGGATTTAATTACAAGAATTTAATGATGAGAAAAATATATTTTAAATATAGGATTTAATGAGAGAATAGGAAAATATTTTTATTTCCAATTGGTTTTAAATTTTACATTCCATTTTTGTCATTAATAAAAAACATTTCTTATTTAACATACTCATTATTATTTAATATGTATGTTAAAAATGTTCTCAATTTTTTTTAATTTCTATTTTTTTATTTTATTATTTAATTGTGGCAACATGGATTAACCCATTTGACCCAAAATGATTTAATTTCTTACCACCACTTAGATGAAAACACTATTTTTGCTAGGTAGATTTTAAAGGTATAAGCTTTTATGCTATTGGAATTATTAATTTATTAAGTATGAATTTAATTAATAGAACTTAATGATGGGAAGAAATAAAAATGACTTAAATATATGATTCAATGAACATGAGTGCAAGTTAATAACTTAAATATTGGATTTAATGAGAGAGGATTGAATGCATTGAATATCTTTAAATTACCTATTTTTAACTCATTTAATATCAAGAACCAATTACCCTATTTGCCCTCATTTTTTATCATTAAATTTAAATATAGAGGGATAAATATTGTCCTTAGAAAATTCCAAAAATATTCTTGAGGCCATTTGTACTTTTTACTGATTGTTGAGAACTTGAGATTCTTTTACCGTTTAAAAATGCATGTCATTGATAAACCTTTAAAATGATTTGGTAAATTCTAGTCGTCATTATCTTTTATAGAAGGATCTACTAACAACAATCATAACAAGAAAGAAAAAAAATGTCCTAACATTGAGCTTTCTTAGACCAACAGTCTCTGATGTCTTAGAACTCAGAAGTAAGTGAATGTACTTAGAAAAAGAAAGAAAAGAAGAGAAAAGGTGAAACAAGGAGAATGCAACCAAGGTTTTTAAAACCGAATATGACAACAAACCGGTCAGGGGTTTGGTTCACAGGTCGAATGGTCCGACCGTTCTTATTGAACGGATGACCCATTCTGACAAAAAACTATTTTTTTTTAAAAAAATAAAAAACAGCCAAATCGTTGGACGGTTTAAACGGTTTGACCACCTGGATCAACGACTTATTGACCAAATCAATGTTTTTTAGCGAAATAACGGCTCTGGGGTAAAACAGAATCAGTCACCTGACCGATTCCCGATTTTTCCAGTCCGACTGTCTAGTCCAGTATGGTTTTGAAAACCATGAATGCAACATAAGAAAGGTCTACTCACCTTTTTTCACCATTCTATTCTCTGCTTATATAGTAGTAGTAGAGACCAGATCTGCTCCTCACATAGGATGCCTCATACCAACCTCACACACACATCCTACCATGCATTGGGAATATCTCCCATACTTATAAGTTATTATTCACGGGAGATGTTCCAAATGCACCATGGATGTGCTTGTGATGCGCCCATGTGTGAGTAGCAGATCCCGACCCTTTTTTGTTAATTTTTATTAAGCTTTGCTGCTGACAGATTTGTGGGTTATAGATCATTTATTCTTTTTTACTTTATAGTTAATACTGAAAAGCAAAAAGAGAAAAGTAAATGAAAAAAGACTTCTAAGTTAGCACTATCTCTCACCTTGTTCAGTGCTCTCTTTCTTTTTCGCTGTACACGGAATATTAAATCAAAGATAGAACTATAAGAAAAGAAGAGAAAGAAGTTTTTTTTTTCCCCTGGTTTTCGGTGCCATGCACCATTACCCCTTCTTTTTTTTTCCAATGCTGTTGTGGAATTTAATTTTATGTAGACCTGGCAAAAAGTTGACCCAACCCACGAACCCGACCCAATTCAACCCGAAAAAACAGGGTTAGGTCTCATATATTAGCTACTCGAGTGTGAAAATGACCAACCCGACCCGATCCGAAAATTGGGTTGGGTTGGGTCATGGGTCAACCCGCTGACCCGATTGTCAAGTCTAATTGGGATTATTTATGCATTGTTAGAAGTTTCCACTCTTTAGTTTTTTCTATTTAGTCTTTACTTTTTGTTGTTTACTCTTTAAATTGTTAAATGTTCAAGTTTTTTATTTTATATTTGGAATTTTAAGGTTAATTCTTTTAATTTTAACATTTTTCATGTAATTTTTTTTATTTTTTTTTAAATTTCAATTGTTTTTTGGAATGACTCGAATTGACCCATGGGTTAACCCTAACCTGAACATTTAGGGTTAGGGTCTAGCATTTGATAACCCGACCCGAAATCAACCCGAAGTACCTTGACCCAACCTAAACCCGACCCACCCAACCCAATTGCTATGTCTAATTCTACGTCAACGCTATAACAAACCAGTAAGTCGGATCTTCGGATCGAATCCAATTCGACTTGTTTTTTTTTTTAAATTAATAAATTATTAAAAAATAAAAAAATACTAATTTAAATAATGTGAAAACAAAAAAATACAATTATTTTTAATTATTTTCAATATATACATATTTTTTATAAAAATAAAATAATATAAAAAATTATAAAAATATGTTTATAAATAAATAAATAACATATATATGTATTATATATATATATATATTTATTTATAAATATATAATATATCGAATCAGATATTCTTAGATTGGAAAGGAGTGATCCGAATCCAATCCAATTTCTGATTGAATCTATTATTCTATTTGATCTAAAAATTCAAACAAGGATGATCCGAATTCAACCAAATAGAATCCTGTATTGGATCGAATCGAATCATGATCCGATCCATTTACACCCCTAGCAAGGATTGATCATCCAGATCCATTATATATGTATAAATTTGTATGGGGTGGGGGTACAGCTACAGCTTGTGATGGTCTAGGGCATCAGATTTAACCCACACTGACTATTGGACCATTCAGGTTCACTGGTTCACTCTCAACACCACAGCTCTTAAGTCTCCATATAACTTGGCTTAAACTTTTCTTTTGAAGCTTGGCTTAAAATGTTTATTTTTGTGCATGTTTTAAAACCTGCCATAGACTAAAATTAATGAATGTCCAAAATCAAAACTCAAAACTTGTTCTCTAGAGCACAAATTTATGGACCCTAGAAAGTAATACGAATATCATTAAAACAAATAAAATAAATAGAGCTTACCAAATAATTAATCATATAGGGTAGAAAAGATAATAGATAAAAATAATTATAAGATTTTCAGTAATGGTGCCTGCAGATGTGCCCTCTTAACCAATAATACCCCCATTCTATTGGAGGCAGTAGTAGTTCAAGTTCAATTCTTACTGGCTCTTTGATTAAAGAAATACTATCAATTCCAATAGCTAGCTATGCTAGTTTTATTAGGGAATATTATAATGGATTAAGATTAGGTAGTTAACACGTAATAGACAAGGTAGTTAATTAATAAAAAAAAGAAAAATCCTCTACGTCTGACTTTGTGTCTCACCAGGAAATTTCCAAGGAGCAGAAGCTTTCTATTGATATTGATCCAACGGGGTCAACAAAGAGAAGAAATCTTCCTTGATGCTTCACCTAAATTTCAGGCCCCTTAAACTTCATTGACAAGAAGAAATCTCAAATATGCCTTCCTTGAAAAATCCAACGAATTAAACAAGAAATTGTTGTGTTACCAAGTCATGATGACACAACATTTACTGAACAAGCTTGTATAAATATATTATATAAATACAGAGTTGTAGAGAAGCTGTTACAGAAGGAAGATGAAAGCCTATGCTATTGCACTGATTGCTTGCGCCTCTGCAATTGGCGCCATTCTACTAATTTACGTATTAACTTGCCTTCGCGGCAGTGGTCGTAAGAGGAGGCAAACAAACCGCCCTCAGGTAGCCAGCACGGTAGGCTCTACGCCTTCGTCGAGTTACTATGTTTCCCGTGATGTTGAACGAGGCGGAGGTACCGGCGGCAATGACGCTAAAGACGGTGGCATGGTCTTTTTGGTGGGTGCAGGCGCCGCTTTAGACATCGCGGGCGGTGGTAATGATGGTGGCACAGGTGGCGATGGGGGTGGTGGTGGTGATTGCGGAGGCTGTGGGGGCGGCTGTGGTGGTGGGTGCGGGGGTGGCTGCTGATAACCCATTTCGAGCAAGGATAAAAATATTAATACGAGTGTGATATGAGCGAAATTTCATATATATTCTTTTTACTTTTATAAGGATTATGGGAATAGGATCTCTATAAATACAAATACGCCTGATATTTTGATCCCCGTGCAAATGTCATTTGAAGATAAAATAAAATAGGGTGGTGTCGACAAAGGAAAGCCATGTTCTTTGATTCTCTTCACCATCTCCTCTCAACTCTTGTCCTTTGAAATAAACTCTGTGCCTCCACTATAAAGAAAATTCTCCGTGATGTTTCATGTTAGCTTTATCCTGTGAAGGTATAACTTTTTGTTATTAATTATTATCTTTTATAGATACTCTATGTTACTAATTAAAATACATTTATAAGGAAATAAAATTGCAGCAACTGATGAATAATCCACGTAGCAGTTTTCAAATATATACCAACTCGCAAGAGAAAAGAACAAAAATCAGAAATTCCGTAGTTGCAAGGAGGAAGATGGCGAAAGCTATGGGATAGTCGGTGCAGGTATTCACTTCGGATGTCCTATTCACAAGGGAGTCTGCATTTCGGGTTGCTCCCGAACCGTGAGCCTTTTTTGTGAATTGAACTGGTAGTATTGGTTTTTGGAAAATCGGTAACCAGAATTGAATTGAAACATTGGTTGACCGGTTTGATTAATTGATGGTTTGGTTTGTTAATTTTTCAGTTTTTTTTGACTTTATAATATTTATTATAAAAATATATACAAAATATTATATTTTAAATAATAAGTAATATATAATATATTATAAATATATTTATATATATAATGTGTATTTATTAATTTATAATATATAAAATATATATAATATACATAAATATATAAAAAACATGTATACTAGTCGGTTTGGTTAACCGTCAATTTTTTAAACTGGTTAACTGAAAACCGAACCGATCAGTTCAGTTAACCAATTTTTCTGTTTGGTTTTGGTCGGTTCGGTTTTTTCGGTTTTTTTTGCTCACCCTAACGACAACTCTACTCTCACCTACTCATAACATCATAGCCACACATGGGAAATATTTCATCCTCTTACATATTATAGCCACACGCTAAGAATATTTCTTGTATTTATATGTTATTATTCATAGAGAGATATTTCCAATGTACAGTTGTAATATCATGTGGGTAGATATGGACATGATTGTAGGAGATCCAAATTGAAAGGTATTGGGCCTATTGGCATCAAGGTTATCATCATAATCTTGGAATTGTTGGATCTTTTCTGTGAGAAAAAAAAACCAATAGTGGTGGTGGTGGTTGTGGCAGCAGTTGCGGAAGCTGATACTTTTTTTTTTCTTATTTTTTGCTGGTTTGGAAGGGATTTCATGCAACGACTTCCGGTGTTGCAAGGTAGGCCTCACATATAAAGCCTTGAAGCTGTGTTTGGTGAATGATAAGGGGTGATTTGGCCCGACCTAATGAATAGAAGACACGTGGATGCAACCTTCCAGCCAGGCTATGACTCGACACTTCTCGCCACCTCAGCAGACCAGGCCACTTCGGGCACCTTTGTCACCTCGGACAAAATCAGAGTCAGGGGATCTCGGTAGCTGCATGCATCGAGGTGGAACACGATGGATTCTAGAAGCTCGTCAGTTGTTCCCAATCCTTTCGGGATCATACCGCGTAATTGTAGGACTTATCCTCATCTTGCCCGAATCAGATGGAAACGATAAGCCTTATCAACTAGCACGTTGGCCACCATCCGAAACAGAACGGACTCCTACCGCTTACTTCGAAGATCCCAGAGAGGCTCCTTCGGGCTCACAACAGTTCAACTATATAAGGACTTTGAATCCCCTAGCACAAGGTACGCATGATTACTTGCTCACTAGCTCTCTTATACTTATGCTTTTAGCTCGAAATCAAGATCACATTACTAACTTAAGCATCAGAGCGACCTCGCTGAGTTAGCCTCCCCGGGTTCTCTGATTCATTTTCTTGCAGTTCGACCCAGTTCGCTACGCGACCAGCCTCCAGGTAATCTTTCAGCTAGGAGCTTCCAGATTGCACACCATCAATTGGTGTCGTCTGTAGGAACCGTATGAAAAGCTAAAGTTCTTTACCTTCCAATTATTTCCTACTAAATGGCTTATTCAAGAAATACTGGAAAGAGTGCCGAGGTGATTGTCTCTGGGGGACAAGATCAAAGCACAACCAACCTGGAGTTCCCTTCGGTCTACATCAGCCAGTTCACTATCCCCCTCATGACTTCGGGGATTTCTCCTCAACAAACTTATTATGGTACACAACTGCTGAACGTCTCGCTACCTCAGTGAGCACCACTTTCTCCATGTCGGAGTCTTCTGTGGTCCCCTTGGAGTCGGGCGTCAGTAGTTCGACGAACTAATCCAGTGCGTTCGAACCATACAACTACAGATGAATCAAATGCACCAATTCCGACAGCTTCAACAGTACTATTTCTACTAGCAGTAATTCCCACTGCTACAACATTAGCATCAGCACTAGAACCCGAACCTGAATAGGAATCCGAACCAGCAACAAAATTTGTGCACCGGTCTCCCCCCTGGGGTGTGGGAAATCCCCAAGTTCCAATTCCTCATCGGAACCAGCCGCCACCTCGAGACAGGACTGAGTAAAAATCAGAACGATCGGCTTGTGGTCAACCACCGGACACAAACCGATCAGTAGCAACATTCACGGAGAGAGAACCACGAGCCCCAAGTAAGTGATCAACAACAACTCGGGGCCAGAGGTGCAGGCTCATGTTGAGTCCCCTCTGAGCCTCGCAACATCCATCAGCAAGTTTGGGACCGCGAAGAAGTGGGAAGCCGGAACCCTCTCCCACCTCGCGACAGCTTTCGGGAACGTGAGTGGACGAAGATTGAAGTCCAAGACAACACGGAGGTGAACGACACCAACGTGGAAGCAACAAGGACTCAAAGGAATAGCCCGACACCTAGGAATAGTCAACCATTGCAGTAGAGTAGGGTGCGGTAGGAAGTGAGCTCCGTAGCTACACAGCCGGATCCAGTTATGATGAGATGACCTCCCCCCCTGTCGTTAGAGATCCTTGCAGCCCCAAGACCAAAGGACTTCAAGGTCCCAACTTTGGAGACCTACGATGGGAAGTACGACCCCAGTGATCATGTCGATGCATTCCAGTCTCAGATGCTCCTCGCCGGGGTAGACGAGGCGAGCATGTGTGTCGCCTTTTCTACTACTTTCAGAGGGGTAGCTAGAACGTGGTATAGGAGTTTAGCGCCAGGCTCAATTACTAGCTGGGCCTAGTTTTCCGATTGCTTCAATTCCCACTTCATCACTTGTAAGAAGTGCCCGAAGTCCCAAGCGAGCATTCTGAACGTGGTACAAAGGGAGAATGAGAACATCCGAATTTTTATTGCACGCTTCAACGCCAAATGCTTACAGATACCGAACCTCGAACCAGCTATTCGGTGACAAAGGGAGTCAAGAACAAAGAGTTCGCATGGCACCTCAGTGTTTATCCGTCAAAGACCATCGAGAAGTTTCTCTCCGATGCTGAAAACTTAGACTAAGGAGGCGCTTAACCCCAACGTAGAGGTACTGTAAGGAGAAAAGAGGAAAAAGGGAAGATGAAGAAGCTAGCAACAGTAAGCATCAACGAAAGAAGAGTAAGTCACCAAGGAGAAGCATGTCTCCAAGAAAGAAGAGTAAGTCTCCATTTAGGGGTTCTAGATCAGGTTGGTGATCCAGGACCCCACCTGTTGAAAGAGCGTCCTACACCCCCCTCAATACAAAGCGAGGAGAAATCCTAATTATGGTCAAGGATTCCTCCTTTGTCAAGTGGCCACCCAGGTTGCTAGGAGATCCGGTGACCAGGAACCCAAACTACTATTGCCATTTCCATCGTGACATCGGGCATAGCACTGAGAACTGTTGAAACCTCCACAACGAGATTGAAGAGCTTCTTCGCTATGGGTACATGAAGAAGTACATCTTGCGCGAAGGCAGAGAATTAGCAGACCATCAAGCCGACCAAAGAAGGGAAGCTCCAAAGTCAAACAGGCAAAATGACCAACCACCTCGGTAGCAGCAGCCGCCTGAGGACAACCGATCCGCGGGGTGATCAACATGATCACCGATGGGTCTATTGTTGCGGGGTGTACCATTGCGACAGGAAAAACCTTGGTTCAGGAGCTCAAACATGAAGTAGAAAATCCACTGAAAAGACCTCAGATAAAAGAACCCATCTACTTCACGGAGGATGACACTCGTAGGATATAGTATCCGCATGATGATGCCTTCGTTGTCAAACTAGTCATTAATGACTTTGAGGTAAAGCGGATATTGGTGGACTTAGGCAGTTTAGTGAATATCTTTTTTCTGGAAGCTTTCAAAAAACTACAACTACAATGAAGTGATATGCAGCTAATAAACTCGCCTCTAGTAGGGTTCAACGGTGAAGTAATCAATCCCCTTGGATGCATCACAGTGCCAGTTGCAGCGGGAACATGGCCCAACTTAGTGCGCTTCAAGGACACCTTCCTCGTGGTTGCGACTCCGTCCCCCCTACAACGCGATTCTAGGTCGACCCATTCTGCATGCCCTTCGCGCAGTCGTGTCCACCTACTATTTGGCAATGAAATTCCCAATAAACTATGGAGTAGGGGTTATACGAGGTGACCAGTTGGAATCGCGTAAGTGCTACGTGGCCGTGCTGAATGGCAAGGTGATGTTGGTAGACGATGTTGAACTAGAGCCTCCACCCGAGCATACAGAGGAGTGAGCTGCCTCGGTGGAGGAAACCACCCATATTCGAGTATCTGAAGATGATGCAGCGAAGACCCTCCAGATTGCACACCATCAGTAAAAAACCCAGAAAATATAAAAAAATATAATTGAGCTGACAAACTTTTCATGAAGCTAATTTTGATAACTTCTCCGAAGCAGTTCAATCAATATAGCTCAATCAACGCTGAAGCCCTCCCAAATAGGCCCTAAATTTGTGCCTTGTAGAGA